ATAAATTCGGCGCGCAGAAGACAAGCTCTGATATTTGACGCAAATTTGTGTCCTGTCCTAAAATGAGTTTATTGACAGATGAACTGACAGAAAGCGATTAGAGTGCACACCTGAGGTGCGCAAGGAAATGTGTCGAGACTAACGCCTTGTAGTACAATAGTGGAATTTAAATTGGTCATATGACGACTGCCGCTTAAAAGCTAGCCAAGCGTGTGTCCGCTAATTTTAAAAAGTCGATAATGGCGTGAGCTTGTAAATTAGTGTTTTAGATCTTTTAATATTTTTATTTCATCAAAATTTTAGTCTATGCTAGTGGAATGTAAATTGGTCATATGTTTGTAATAAAAATGTCTCCTTATTATTATTATTATTATTATTATTATTATTATTATTATTATTATTATCATTATTATGAGCATCATTGCCGTAACTATACATATCACGCAGTAAGTGTCCCCTACAAAAAATCTGCATTACCTGTCATTATGGACATCCAATTTGAGCGTGGTCCTTCGCCTTTAGACGTAAAAGCTGCGACTGCTATTTGGTAAGCTCTGGCTTCCTTTAGGTCCTTTAATATCACCATAGTAACGTCAGCACTGCTAGTGTTGACACTCTTACCCAAATACGGGTCGTAATAATAATAATAATAATATCTGGAGGTGCGGTATTCCCTATAGTAGACTCTGTACCCAAGGAGTCGTCCATGAGCGTGATGCTGGGACAGTGGATTCCACTGTACTTTCACCTCAGTCTCCTCTAAGTTTGAAAGTCGGACATTTGATGGAGCTTTGCTGGGAACTAATAAAAACGAAGTTTATAAAAGATCAAAAATTGTATTTGTTACCCTTGTCATGCAAAATTAAGCAAATCAATCACCAACAATTTTCTGTTCTAAAGTCCGAAACGACGTAGCTAAATCAATGTGGCCGCAGTATTAAGATTTATTACCCACTACAGAGCTGTGGGCGCTAAGCATTTATTGGGGATAAAAGTGTCGTCAAGGTTTAAAATAGAACAACATCTTTAAGTAATACACGTACCCCCTTCGTCTGTCCATGCTGTGATCTCTCTGCTATTGTAGGCATTCCCACTGTAATTTACACCAACAACAGATAACCGATATTCCCTGTACGCCGTTAGTCCAGAGAACACGTGGGAAGTAGTATTTCCTGGGACAATGTAACCGTTTACGATATTACCATATGAGTTTTTGACGACTACAGGGTAATAACTTATTCGTTGACCAACGAGTGTTTGCAGGTTTTGCCAGGAGAATCGGATGCTTGTTGTGGTAGTGTTGTCAATGGAAACACTCCAGTTAGGTGGTAGAAATGCTAAAATAAATAAATAAATAAATAAAACGAAGAACAAATCTATGTATGAAACTAATAAAAGAAGCCCTGCCGGGGGGGGGGGATATATATGTCGCTCGTCTGCTCTCGTGTCGGTGTTTATAAATGCTTCACGTCGGTGTCGTAAATTGAACGAAAATGGAAATTCTTTGTCTTTGTTGGAATTTTAGAAATGGGGGATAGCGATGCTTTGTAAAGAAACCATTAAAGTTCTGCAATTTCTCAGTTAACATTGCGCCAATCTAACACCTATACATCGCCATTTACAATTAAGTGATTCACGTTCAAACTGACCCGATATATCGTGAACGTACGCTCTGTGAGAGCAGTTGGAAGGTCGACGGTTAGGTTATCTGGTCCCTGGTCTCTCCACCGTCGTCACCGTCATGTTGCTTACAGTACACAAGAAAGTTCAGTCTGGATCACATTGTCTCTCTTCACCCAAGTGTATAGTGGGAACGACGATCATAATGCTAGCCGGGGATTGAAAGCCTTGCGATGTTCTAACATCCCGTTCATGTTGTTTCCCGCCCGTTCGCCTCGGGTACATCACCGAAAAGAATTGACCGAGAGGGACTGGGAAGACGCCGCACAAGGAGTGAAAGCCACTTCGCTCGCAACATTTACATCTCCACCTATACAAATCAAGACCTAGTGGTCTTCTCACGGTTCTACCTGACGACGTGAGCATGACTCTCGAGTCTACCATAACAAAGCTATCGTCGTCTTCACCTTCCTGAATTTCAGACTCATCCCGATCCTGTTCTTCGTCGCTTATTCTCGGCTTTGCCGTCACTGTCGCATTTTGGCCGAGAGAGGTTGTCTCTTGTCGCGATTGCATTTTACGCTCTGTCGCTACTTTTTGGGTCATGTCGCTCGTCGGAATTTACCCTGGCAGAGCCTCATAACAACTGAAGTTGCACGATATCATTGAGATGCAAAAAGAAAAAATTCTGAAGCATCTTGAAGCATGTACAGGAAGAGGGAAGAGCACGTAATAAGTGTAGGGAGAAACACTTTTTGAGCGCTTTAGCCGCTTCCTTAGTGCTTCAGAACGAAACAGAGCATAGTTAAGGTTTCTTTATTTGTTTCTAATATTATAAAGAATCCGTTGAATTCCACAAGCACCGCTTTCTAATTATTAATAAGAATCTTGAAGGCCCGGTCTAAACGAATCCGGATACTTTTTAAGCCGCACACAAATCGGCCTTCCCTCGACACGAATCCATTAGGAACCTTACAAAACCACGACGACGACGGCAACGGGAACGTCAAAAAACAATAGGTTTAATTAGCAAAACTACAATTCTGCACGTGCATCACGCTTTTTTGTACAACCACTCATAATATTGCCACATTTACAAGGGCGAAACATCGTCAAGTTACTCGAAAAAATTCTTGCTTTCTCCACATAAATCGTGGCATGGAAACTTTTCTCACACAGTCGATTTATTCAAGATCTCGGATGTAAACCAGCGGTTTTGAAGAGGAGTCATGGAGCTCCCCGCCATCCAAACATTTTTTTAAAATAACTCTTTGGCCTGGTCAGAAGTCAGCATTAATTTCGATCTCGCCGAATAGATTTGACCCCTAGGACTTAGTTTATGAGGCCAAAGACTTTACTGGCAACAACAAATTAAAAGCTCGCAATATCCAGTCTTTTCTTCTGAAGCCCAGGATCAGTCTCTCACCCGTGTAGCTAAATGAGACGAAATACCACAGGGTCCAGAGGAGTTTCGTGTGAATAAATGAATTACTTGTTTAAAGTATCACCTTGAAAAATGTCTATACCTGTCGCTTAGCACGATTAATTATCCCAATGGGATCTTAATGAATCTTCTGTAAACGATTTCTTCGCTTCTTATCTGACGTTGGTCTGTTGATCTGTTGCTCGCCATTCTGAAAATCAATAACCGCAAGCCATATCCTCGGTGGCGCACGGAACGTCGCCCGAAGGGTGACCGAGGCACGAAGTGCCGAGTAAAAAAACGGACAAGGGAGGAAACTTGTACCACGTGTCTTCGTTCGCTGTGAACCGCATCACTTGGTGACGGAAGTGAATGAGACCGGAAACGCAGTAGCAACTCGAGAATCAAAATATCAGCTGCGGAGGGAGTTTTAAAGACCTCAAAGATCTATGCGAAAGCAGCAGAGTTTTAATTGAAGTGAAGATCTTTCAAGACTGGACATTTGTTGCACATGTCAACAGTCTTCGATGTCTTAAACAGGTTTCCTTGTGCAAAGGCTTCCCAGTAGTCGCAAAACGCACAGCCAAAGACGCAAGAGGTAACACTATTGCCCGGCGGGGCACTTGGGTATTTTTTGGGTGGGTATGTGCCGCCCGGGACCTTAAATTGGCACCCTGTTCTAAAAAAAAATTCCCCTAAAATTGATACCCCGTTCCAGAAATGGGCCAATTTTTTATACTCCGTTCTAGGGTGCAAATAGTCTGCTACACAGCCGTTTTTAGTGTCGTCACGCAATGCTCCTCCCCACAAACGGCTGCTGAAAACCGAACTACATTCCTTTCCCTTTGTGTTTGTGGTCTAACGAACAAGCCAATCATGCGCAAGAAGTTTGACAATACGTGAGCCGCGGGGCGCTAGGAAGCGAGCACGCTTCTCAGTTTTCGACAAATCAATCAATCGTCGCTGAATTTAGACGGGCTCTGTGTTTTCAAGCAACGAAAAGGTTAATTTGCAAAAAAGTTTGTTTTAAGCGGTCAAGAAAGTATACAAACAAAACTAACAAACTGGGCCCAGCGTGATACAGCATTGCAGAAAAACATTACCTTCACGGACTAAAGAAAATCGCTTAGTTATTCAGATCCGGAAGGCACTTTGGGGAAAATTGGAACCCTTATTCGGCCGTAATAAAAAGCTTCACGCTTCAAAAGAGGTCAAAGAAAATCCGCTCGCATCAGAGGGCAAATCCTGCCGACCAAAAACAATAACCACAGTAAATCGATATGTGTGTCATGACCTCTCAGTTTGTGAAACATGCGGCTAAAATCACATTTGCTCAGTGAAAATGACTATGTAGAACCTTCCGGAGCATAATCTACCCAGCAGAGGAATAAAAATTTATTGGAATGAGCAGCATTTTGGCATGAGGTAAAAGTCGCGTAGGCTTACCATCCTCTTTTATTGCTCCGATCTTGAGCACATTTACTTTACTATGTCATTTCCGTCACCATCTGTCGCGGTGCACAGCGAACGAAAGGTAAATTTCGGTCGCCGAAAATATCTGTGAACGCTTTTTTATACCGTTTTCCTACAGTATTTGGCAAATACATAAGAATTCTAGATCAGGTTAGAAAAATTAGGCGATTTCATTCAATTTCATTTGACTTTCAGGGATTCGAAAATCGGCCCCAAATTTGTTTCCTTTCTTTCCGTATTTTATACTGTAAGCCGATCTTGCGAGCCCTCAGTCTCTTGGTTTGCGGTCTATAGAATGTGTAACGAAACTGTAACGCGATCAAAATAACCCATTTTTTCAGAGGTTTTCGACGGGTTTTGATGTTCTAACGACAAACACATCTCCTCTGGACCCTATGGAAATACGAGGAGATATTGGACGCAGCAGACTTTGCCAATCGTGAGACTTGTTCCTTCATAAGGCTTAATGATGCCTTCTGGAAAACTTTGTTAAAGGCAGCATAAAAAAACCCCTGAGACAACCAACTACGAAAGCCCTGCTTCGTCTAATACGCGCTGATTTCCAACTGACATACAGAGAGAATTACGGGAAGCGTATTTTTTGGAGGGGGGAGGGGGTAGGTTAACAGTCACTGAGAAACTCATGATAGTCTATATACTGCAGCATATTCAGTAAATATTAGGTAAGGCATAAATAGATAAAAAATAACAATGAAAAAAAAAATGCTCAACTACAAGACTCGGTAAAGGTGTTTGAGAGCAATTTCTATAGTAATGTTTTAGCAGATCCAGTCAGTTATATATAAAATAAATCTACTCATATAGGTCTACTTATCCTAGGAGTTCTCCATGCATAAAAAGTATGCAGAGCGTAATACAAATGCAAATTCAAAGGATGGAAATTAACAGAATTTTAACTCAGAGTTATTATATATATATATATATCTGTCTGGATTTCATACAAGGTGCCTGTACTGAGTCTCTAGACGGTCAACTCCGAGGAGCCATTACTCACCCTCCCCACCCATGAAGCTTATGACTAGTCAATCTCTTCCCCCAAGCCCTGCCAGTAGTGTTATGATCATGAGTCACCACATTGATTTGGTTGGCCTAGGCCACAGGAAAAATTCTCCGACTTTGCACTGCTTTCTGACATAAAACTCTAACCAGTGACAAAATCTCCCCTCCCTACCCCACTGGTTTTCACAAGGAAAAACAAGGAAGCCACCCACCCATGGATAGGTCTTTTTCCCGGCTACACTGGCTTGAGCACGGGCGATGCC